CATTTCCTACGCCAGTATGACTGCAAAGAAATAAAGGAAGAAGTGGCTTTTCCAGACACTCTATTAATGACAGAGCCACTCTTCCTCATTCAGATATTTCACAGGCAGCACAAACAGCCTGGATGCACCTCCCAGGCTGGGTGTAGTGCTCAGAGCTGCATCATTAGGTGTTTTAGCAGATGTGAACTCAGCTTCTCACAGCACAGCACAGCACTGGACACCGACTGTACTTGTGCAATCTGGGGGGAAACAGGCAAAGAGGGAGCAGGCAGCCCGAGGGAACGCTCATTATCAGTGTCCTGACTCTGCTGGGAGCACCAGCCAGGGACTGACTCCTGCTCACAGGCTGATAGCTTTGAGGGCCTTGATTAATGTGCAAAACTCAGGCAGATGAATTCAGACGTGCCCAGAAACTTCTGTGATCTGGATGAACCTGATAAATTCAGATAGAAATCTTCACATCTGCCAGCTGCTTATTAATGCACAAGGGGAAAATGGTTTTTTTTAGCAGTAAAATCTAAATCAGACGTGCCACAGCTGAGCTTGGCTCCCAAAGAGTTCTAAGGGACAGAGGGACGTGGTCTTCCAGCCACCCTGATGGGAAAAGAGGACAGTTCCAATACTGAACCTACTTTTCATATCCACACCCCATCTCCTGGGTGAAGTATGGGGACCTGAGCATCACCAGCAGAGGTTATATTACCCCATGATGGCAAGGATGTTGTGTCCATTTTAATGAGCACATTTGGCATTAATATCTCAGGGTATAGAACTATCTGTGTATCAGGCATGAAAATATTAAAAAAAAACCCCAAAAAGCAAAAAACCCCAAAATCCCAAACAAACAAACAAAACCCAGCCAACCAACAAAAAAAAAAAAAAAACAAAAAAAAAAAACCAAAAAAGGAACCAAAAAAACCAATACAGAAAATATTTAAAGGGTCTTTTTCATATTCATCACATCACATCTCATCTCTCCATAACAGCTCCATAGGAAGTGAAAAACTTTGCAGTTGGTGAGTCTCCCCTATGATTACATGGAACTATCTCTTTATCCCAGGAGCACATTCCAGAGTGTGTTACACACACATGGATCACACACTTCCATACCCACACCGAACTTTTTGTTTGCAAGGAAATCAATGGAGAGCCTGATGTGACATTTCTAGAACCAGCTCCAGCCCAAGATCAGCCTCAGGTCAAGAACAAAGATGTTTTCATTTCTTATGACTTTTAAGCTCCAGAAAATTCTTTCTCCTAGTGGGACTTCCTGCTGTTGGATATTTAACTGAAACTATTCTGGAGTCAGCTCTAGTAATAAATACTGAGAGACCAAAGTACCTGTAGAGCTTTTTCTTGATGAGTCTGTCTTAGAACTGTAAATCTGAAATTTTTCACAGTGTATTTCATACTGGAGAAGATTCCACGTAAGGATTTATTTAAATAGGAAATTATTTATCATGTTTTTCACACCTGAGTATCTCAACTCCAGCAATTTGACAGGTTTTTTTTGATTCAGTTCATTGTTTAGTGCATTTGTCTATGTTGTTTTCCTTTGTTTTGTGGTTTGGGGTTACTTTTATTTTGTAAATTCTGGTGCCTGCTTTTAGGAAGAGACTCAATCACTCGAGCAGATTTCAGTGTGTACCTGGTGAGTTAATAAACAGATGGTGGAATTACAGTGACGAGCATCACACCAGAAAATACCCAGAGAGAGAAAGATAAACAGCTCTGACAAGGAGCCCACCTCTCCCTCTGGTATCACTCATGACATCAGCTCCTCCTGTGACTCACAAAAGTCTGATAAAAGCAAAAGTGAGCTGTCCCAGATATCACAGTGATGACAGCAAGGCTCTCAGGTAAGAGACAGGGTATTTTTTCCAGCCAAACACTTTGAAAATCAACTAAGACAAAATTGAAGAGAGCTAGAACATCTCCTTGGAGGTCTGTGGAGAGGCTGGGCTGAGGCTCAAGAGGCTCCTCCTACCCCTGGAGCAGCAGAACAGACCCCACAAAAATCCAAGGAGCCTTGAAAGGATGTTAAGGTAGCAACAGGTAGCAGGAAACTCATTTTGAGAGGCTTCTGGAGAGTGAAAACCTCAGAAAAACTGGCTCATAAAAATAGGATATAGATGCTGTAATATTCCCTGTTTATCAGCTCTGATATATTGAGTGATTAATTTGGACATCCAGAGTACCTGAAAGGGATCAAGGAATAAAAAACCAACAGCAAACGGTCTTCCATACACCCCCACAGAGTTTAAAATGTTATCCACAGCCTTACCTAATGTGACAAGTGTCCTGGAAGGACACCAGCATTAATACAGACCTTAAATAATGAAATTCTAGCCCATTTCCACAGTATTTTAAACAATCTTTATACAAGCAAGGCTTACATTTTGTTCAGAATACGAGGAACTGCCACACAGCTTTTACTTAAAAGAAAATTACAGGCAGGAAATGTTCCATTCAGGTGTGAGCAGTGTAGTGAGACAGAGAATCTCTGGGGTTTTTTTAAACTGCCCTGTACAAAATTGTATTAAATTACTATATGTGAGAGAGAAGAAATAGAGAAGAGCTATTTCCACTGGAGCACCAAAGGATGGCAAGGGGGGCAGATGGAAATGATAGGCTTTTCTGGCCTGGCTATTATGATTGGAGAGTGCAAAGAGAAGAATAAATGTATTGTCATTTATTCCAGCCAGAAGACAGAGAAGCATTAGTACACGCAGCAAATAGCTGCCTAGAGAACAGCATTTTCACAGGATTACAAATGTATCTCCTGCCACTAAACATACCAGAATAATTTGGAACTAATACTGTTATATTCCTTTGTATAAAATTGCCAGTAATTTCTTTTAAATAATACATTGCTCATAGTGAAGGTGCCCACAGACAATCAAGGTGGTGTGTTTAATTTCACTGATCATTCCGTTTGCTGAAACAGGTATTTACTGTCCAATTTAGGGTTTAGGAGTATGCACATTTCAAAGCAAAACTTCTCTTTTGATATCTACCAAACTTTTTTATTCAATATTGAGAAATGTAAACTACTTTCTGTTCTAAATACTCCAATAAAACTTATTATGCATAGAGAAGCAAACAGATCTTTCAATTAAAAAGATTACATAGACACACTTTTAAATCTTAATCTTTGTTGAAGAAACACCCTTTGATTTTATGTTCCTCTGATCAAGAGAAAGCACGTGAGAAGCAGAGGTTTAGCTTGGATTTAGCAGGTTTAGGAGCAGGACTATCAATTGTGCAAAATCTCAATTACAGGCTAGTTGAATGTATGCTCAAGTACATTATTACAATTCAATAATCATCTCTTCAAAATTAAACAATTCCAATTTGCTTTCATTTCCGCCTGTGCACATGAATTACAAATTTGCTATTATTCACACTAAAATTAGTCAGGCTGTTTGGAAGCCCGATGTGTCACAGGGTGGCACCAAACTGACCTCAAATGAACCACTTAACCTCACCTGCTTCCTAATCAGGGATGAAGAGCAGGATGGGACCTTCCCACAACACTTTGATCCTGTTAAAGTTCCTTCCAGGTGGGTGCATTGCTGAGCAATCCAGCAGTGAAGCCATCAACAACTTTCCTGTGGACATCCAGCCACTCATGGTTTTAATTTATTCTTCTATATTTTTTTCCTTGTTTGTATCAACAAACATGAAGTTCTCAAGCTGCACCAAGGGAAACACCAAGGGTTGGGTATTGGGAAAAAGTTTTTTACGGAAAAATGATAAAGCTCTGGCATGGCTGCCCGGGGAGGTGGTGCAGTCCCCATCCCTGGGTGTGTTTAACAAAGCCTGGATGTGGCACTGGGTGCCAGGGTTTAGTTGGGGTGCTGGGGCTGGGTTGGACACGATGATCTTGGAGGTCTCTTCCAACCTGCTCTTTCTGTGAATTCCAGGTACAGAACTGAGCCAGGAATGGTCTGACAGCTGCTTGCCCTGGAAAGCTGCTTTCCCTCTGTTTAGCTGTCGTACAATCCTAGGTGTGCCACTCCTGGCAGCTCAATCCCCTTTTAATCGTGAGTTAATTCCCCCAGATTTGAACAAGATACAAGATCACCTGGTGGGAATGAAAAGCACTTGGCATCCAGCACAAGCATTCTCCTCGTGATCTGTGTGGTCCAAACATCTGCACCACACAACACTCCAAGGCACAACAAAGGCATCTGATCACCGAAGGACAGATAGTTGGCAGAAAGCAGAACAGTGGACAACCAGATCTCGTTTTACAGCTGTCCTCTGTTTTCATACCCTCCATTTAAATCAGTAAATTACACCCTGTGAGCAGACCCAGACTTCAAATTCCTCTCACCCCAACACAGAGTACCTCAGGAACAACCCAGCCACCATCTGAACTCACCACCTAAGAGTCGGTGAGCACTCCTGTGGTGCAGCTCAAGGTAGGTTTAAAAAATAAATAGATAAATATGAACCTAGCATAGAGGATAGCACTTCACCACCTGCCTCAGGAAGGTGAGATTAAGACACACCTTGCATGTGTCTGGCTCTTGAATCATGGTAATTAATATGGCTAAAATCCAAACACCCTTCAAGAACTACTGATGCTTCTACTCTGGACTTCAGGGCGTCAGCAGAATCAATCCCAGCATTTACTGCCAGCAGCCTTGAACAGTCTCTGCTGACATGCAATGCTCCACCACAAGATTATTTCTGCCTGATAAAATACTGGAAAGGAAAGCAGCTCGTGAAGCTGATTGACAGCCAAACTATTCAGCTGACTACAGTAAAAGTCTCCATAGCCACCATACTTTACTACAAAACTTTACAAAGAGGGCTGTGTCCAAAGCTTTAATTCAAACACTCAAGATACCAACTTAAACTCACATCACTTTCACCCTTTCTCCTTATTTTAACACGAACTAAAGAAGGTCCGACAGAATGCCAGTTTTTACAGACAGTTATCCCCCAGGAGGAGACACTCCTTGTGCATGAATATGCTTTGCTGCTCCTACCTTTGACGATGAGCTCGGCGTAGTTGGAGACGCCGGAGCCGCCGTCGGAGCGGATGACGCAGCGGTACTTGCTGATGCTGCGCTGCGACGTGTCGGCCACGCTGACCGTGGCTGAGAAGCGCCTGTGGTTGACCACTCGAGTGACCATCAGGGCTGTGTCCCTCCCGTTCCACTGCTGCAGAGGCAGAGAGAAATAATGCCGTGATGGAGACAGGTAGGTTATGCGTTGGTGCGTCTGTGTGTAAGTCGCTCCTTGGGGTGCTTAACATGGTCGGAGCTCCGTGTTCATGTTTTGGGAGAGGTTTTGGACAAGCACGGCTTTTCAAGGGAAGAATTCAGCCATTCCCTCAGGAAATCCACAGGGCTGTGTGAGCTGGGCTCTAAATATTTTTATACATAGGTGAGGGTGGGCAGGCCCTGGCACAGGGTGCCCAGAGCAGCTGTGGCTGCCCCTGGATCCCTGGCAGTGTCCCAGGCCTGGTTGGATAGGGCTTGGAGCAGCCTGGGATAGTGGAAGGTGTCCCTGCCATGGCAGGGGTGGCACTGGATGAGCTTTAAGGTCCCTTTCAACCCAAACCTGTGATTCTATGATATATTTAAGTTTGTATTTCTATTAAATATTTGAGATATATTTGGGTTTTTGGTGTGTTCTAAGGATGCAAAGAGGGTAAAGTGTCTGGCAGGAACTCATATGAGGGGCAGGACACTGAGGACACTTGGCTTGGTCAGAGTAGGAACTCTGTGACAGGGACAGGACCCAAGAAATGCCTGGAGCTGTGCCAGAGAGGGTCAGGCTGGAGATCAGGGAAAGGTTCTTCCCCAGAGGTGCTGGCACTGCCCAGGCTCCCCAGGGAATGGGCATGGCCCCGAGGCTGCCAGAGCTCCAGGAGCGCTGGGACAGCGCTGCCAGGGGTGCCCAGGGTGGGGTTGTTGGGGGGTCTGGGCAGGGCTGGGGCTGGGCTGGTGATCCTGGGGGTCCCTCCCAGCTCAGGACATTCCATGATTTTAAGATTAGTTCCTGCAAAGGCTGCAGAGGGGCAGCTCTGACTGCCACTGCGCAGTTCCACCCACTGTAATTAGAGGTCCGTCTTGGATGTGAAAACACAACAGCTGAAGGCTTTGTGTTCACCTGGAAAACACTACAAATTAACAGATTCTGTAAATTTAGCCTTTTCAGCTGCAAAACTCTGATTCTGGACCAATTTAAATAAATTGATTGGATGAGCAGACATCCTTGTATATCCAACATTCCCCAATAAACCTCTCTACCAATGCCAGTCCACATTTTTCCAGCTGGAAAAGGGACAGGTGAAGAATTAGCCAGAAATTGTTCTTCACAGTATAAACACCTCAACTTGCTCATTTGTCCAGTTTATTAGGAATTTTAAAGAAAGCACATTGCTATTTTGGCAGTTTCCACTAAACAGTTATTAGGGGTGTTTCCAAGGCTATTTTCATTAAATGTTGCAGTTTTAGAGAATGGAAAGCAGGTTTTCATTAACAATAGCAATTCTTTCCTCCCCAACTCTACTTCTCACAGGCAAAGGTTCATATTGCTGCAGGTCAGAATTGTTTTCACACACATCTAATTGTAACTGGGGAAATATTTTAACGAAAGAACCAAAAAAAAGATAAAATAAGTCAAAAATGTATCTCAGTGAGTGCTAGACATACACCATAGGTAAATAAATTTAAGTTAAAAATGTAATTTTTAGAACAGCTGTGATGAGACCATAGTCACTGAATATAAAATCATTTTTATATAATGCCAACAACATGTCTCACCAACTTAAGCCTTTTTCCCAGTACTATTTTTAATTTTTATGATTAGATATGCCAGTTCCTTGATTTAAGCTAGATTTGAAAATGTTATTTTAAAATTTTATTAAAATGCCTGAAGTCAATTATAAAATTTGATAAAACCTGATTATTTTACTACAAAGGCTCTTCCTGTCTGCCCCTGATGTTACAGCTACAGCGTGATCAAAACCTCAGTGACATCCATCCCAAGCTGAGAATAAAACTTTTGGACTGGCTTTAGTGTTCTCCAAATTATGTTGGTCCTGTGCACATGCAACAAGAATCCTCTCGATTTCTTTAGAAGTAAAACATTTAGGAACTCAACAATTTTAAAAGCTTCTGGAATGGTAATGCTGGGTGTTCATATATCAGAGAAATTCAAGGGGCAGGAGAAATTATCGTGTCCTTCACTGGAAAACACACAACCCACGTGCTGATGTTGGGAGTTGTCAATTCTAACACTGACAGTGAATTCCCAAGGTTTTTCCCGCACCCACCAGAAGAGCAGGACCCAGACAAGTTTGATCAGTAGGCTGCAAGTAAGACATCCAGTGAGGGAATGTTTTGGTCTTTCAGTGAGTAGGATTTGCCTATTTTACCCACCCAGGTAAGTAATTTCAGACCTTGGAGATTTCCTTCTTAACAATTATCACTAACTCCAGGCTGAGAACATTTTTAGGGTGAAAGGAAAGCAGATGGCATAATAAAGCAGAAGAGAACTGTTCCACTTCCTCTCTCTTCTGCTTTATGGCTGAGTGTATACAGGTACGTGGGCATTTGTTTGAAACCAGAATTTTGCTGTCACTGCCCATTTTTTCCTTTTTCTGTCTCCTAATTCCATGCTTTGTCACCTCAACTCTCACCTATAAGTAAACTACGGCAATTCTTCCAAGGATCTTGATGAAAACATTTTGTTTCACCACCAATCTTTCTCTAGCTATTTATTTCACTTGCAAAAGCAAAGAAAGCCCCAAATTAACCACAAAAAAAAAAAAAAAAAAAAAAAAAAAAAAAAAAAAAAAAAAAAAAAAAAAACAACAGGGCATTTTTTTTCCGGGGGAAGAAGAACACCAAACCAGCAGGGCATTGCTTTACCTGGAGCCAGAGCTTGTCGTGCTGTGACCACTTCCCGCCGGCGATGCACTGGAAGGTGGCGTTCTGCCCCACATTCACCTCCACGTTCTGCAGCCGCAGGAAATGCGGGGCTTTTCCTGACAAAAGAGGATTGCAAGGGTAGAGCCAGGCAGGAACCACCCGTGCTGCACCCACCCAGACACCCAGCAAAGCCTTTGCAAAAGTGCCTTTGCAAAACAAAGCTGCCCTTGGATGTTTAACTGCTCCCTGCAGGGGGAAGTGGTGATGGAGCTGGGAAAAGGTGGCCTGAGGGATCTTAGAGAGCCCTGGCACCCCTGAAAATACAGATTTGGATCAAATCACAAGTTCATGGTCACTAGCACAATTCCTTATTGCCTGCTATAAAGAGTAATTGAGTCATCTCTTCTTTTCAGAAAACTATGATTCTAAAAAGGTCAAAAAAAGTCAAATGCTTTTGTGCTTGTCAAGCATGACTGACCCAAACCCCATTTTCACAAGAGTCTTTTATTCTTTTTCTTTTCTTGACTATCAAATATGTCCTAGACCTTTAGAACAATGCATCATCAATATCAAATCAGATATTAAATGAAATATTCATTTAACTGACAGTATTGTACCACTGGTTTAGTTTAAGATCACTGATATCAATGTTTTGCTGACAATAAATTCAGCATTAGTTCAAAATTAAACCAGTGATATTAAAAATGCAGACATCATTTTTTTTTTCAAAAAGAAACTAGATGAGAGGATATCTTCTTGATTAAATATCAGACTGACTTAGGTCTTTATTTAACTAAAAGTATAAACAAGATTACCGCAGCAAATGCAACATCTTTAAGTGAACTATTTTTTTTGCAGGGCTTCAGAAAATGGTTTGTGCACCATTTGAAAAATTTTAGTATGATACTCTGAAAAAACTTACACCTAAAAAGTCAGTGTTTTTCAACAATATCTACACATTTTCTAGAATGATTAGACACTGAAATACATCATTTCAGAGGACAATATGACTTCCCTTCTGTTGGAAGAAACAGCTTTAAAGGGAAGTGGGCATCTGTGGCCGTGCATGGCTGAAACTTGATGTACAAGTGTTTGACACATGAACAGGGAACACATGTTCATGCACCATGTCAAATGTTTTTATCTGCTCCTGTGCCCCATCCAGCACAGCTCACTGACAGCTCCTGAAGGACAGGGACTCTGTACCGTCCTGCTTTGGGGGCAGCAGGAATTTGCATCAAGGTTTACTGGAAAACTCCCTCTGGGTGACATTCAGAACATTCTACAGGGTATTTCAGGATAATTCTAACATTTATGCCTGCAGTCTAAAATGTGCAGCTGTAAGTCAGCTACAAATACGAAGGTGTGGAGTCCCACCAATGCCAACATCCTGGTCCTTGGGTCTGCCCAGCCTCTGGAGCATGGGTTGTGCTGTGATGGCAAGGGCTCGTGCACACAGAGCCAATGAGCTTTTAGCATAAGGAAAATGGATATTCCAGTGTATTGCTTCACAAGACAAAGGAAAACAAGAGGCATCACCAGCAGTACATTTCTTTTTCTGTATTACTGTGTCATTAGGGGCATTTCACTGCTTTTTGCTGACTTTGGTTTGCCTACCTTTGTCACCTGTGAAGGTAAAGCAGAAATGAAGAAATAAGACCAATGATTTCAGTAACCTCCAGGGCCACCAGGAGCTTCACAGTCCCCGTGTTTTGATTTACAACAATTGTAAAAGGAATCTGAGGGGCAAAGGCTGTACAAGGAAAGGGAACACGTGGGTGACGTTCACCCTGGTGACTGACACTGCTGAACAACAAAAGCAGCACTGGGAATCAGACAGGAGCAGCATTTACAGACACTGCAAAGAACTGCAGCTTGTAATGAGCTCTGTATACTGGGGGCTGCAAACAGGTTGAGAAAAAACCCCAACTAACCAACTCTGTTTCAAACATTGTGTTGCTGAGTCACCAAGAATGCATTTAATTTTGACAAGGACATGTACATACTTGAAGAAATGGATTCAAAATCAGTTTACTTAATTAATCAGGGATACAACACAGCATCATGCCTAACTGCTTTAAATCCCATCATTTTCTTGTTGAGGCTCTGCCCCAGGGTTTGTTTAGTGGCCTCTATCCCAGTGAAGGGAGCAGCAATCACCCAACACACTGTGGAAGGCACAGACCATTTGGGGATTTGTCTGGATGCTGCCAGTTATCAGCAACATCTGGTTAATACAGACTGTAAGTATTCCTTAATGAAGTAAATGCACCCAAAGGCCTGAGCAATGAGCACATGGTAAATACAAATATAATTTACTTAAGCTGCAATTAAGCATACTGCAGTTATCAGAAATGTCCTGTTAAACTTGAGCAGAACCATGTCTGTCACATTGAATGGCAGATGTTCTTTGACATTCTGATCACAGCAAAAACAGCTGATTTCACTCCATCTATAAGATCCATCATTTTTTTGTGAGCAGCTGTCACTGACTTACTGAAACCATGAGCCAGAAAAAGGGGCTGTTAAAGAAGATCTTTACATGCAACTGTACATTACATCCATAAAATATGCAAAGTCCTCAAGCCCCACTTGAAGGTGGGTAAAGGAGCCAAACAAGTTCAGACTCAAAGACTGTGGCACAATGCTTCTTTAAACATAAAGAAGTAAATATATCTCATCTTATTGTTGTGTCTGCAATAGAAGAAATGCAGCACTAACATTTTTTAATAGTGTGAAGAACCTGCATTAGCTTCTACTCCTGTATATGTGCAGTGTCTGAATAAGATTAATTTTTGATACATTCACAGCTTTCTGAGCAGGTCTAGTATGTTGAAACCAACCTTTGGGACAGGCCTCTTACCAAGGAAACACTGAAACAATTTGTTTGGTTGTTCTTTTCAGAAGTTAACCACACTGGTTATTATGAGAAGCATTTTAGATTGTTTTCTACAGCAATAAGATTAAGAAACACTAAAGCCATCAGTTTACTAGCAAGTAAAGAAGAGAGAATTCCACTAGCCATAAACTGAGAGCAGCTTTGCTTTTGTACAACTTGCAAAAGTAGGTAATTAAGCAAGGCTGACTGTCCTTAGGGGTCTTGGTGGGAGACAAGACATTTTAGTGCTGACCCAACTGGGCAAATCTCTCCTTTAGACTACAAACTATGGCTTAAACCACATTGGTACAGTCAGAAAAATAAAGAGTGCTCACTGCAGGGATGGGCGAGGACTCTGACTTCATCCACAGCTATGTACCCAGGGTGTCCTTTCAAAGAGACAGATTCAAATATCACCTGAAATATAAAAGAAAAAAAAATTCTGAGAAAGAACATTTACATCAGTAATTTCAGCAGTCACCACATTCTGCTGTTATTACAAGTCTGAGTCATTCAAGGCATTTTGTCAACAATGAAGGGATACCAGGGCAATTCAGTGTGTGAATGCAACACCAAATCTGTTGGGGAAGCAAAACAGAGGATTAGAGCAACATTCAATAGGATTAAAGCCAGCTCTGTGCATCTCTGATTTGGAAAAGCAATATGTGCCCTGGCTGTACACACCTATATTCTCTTAAGCACCAGTCCAAGAACATTAGGTGGATAATAATTTGATATCTTGTTCTCAGTATGCCTTGGAAGATTGGAGAAAGCACTACAGTTGGAGAAAGCACTACAGTTCTCTCCCTGAATCAGTGACCATGCATTCCAGCCATTTGCAACTTCTAAAATTCACTACTAGAACAGAGAGTTAACTATTTAAAACCAGTTTTCAACAGTTCTTTTTGTTCTAAAGAAGAGCTGGCATTCCCAGCCTGTCACTGTTCAGCCTCTTCTGTATCTCCTTCATCAAAAGATTTAATACAGTAAAAGGTTCAACTGTCCAAATATTGCCCTGGATGAAAATAGACCAGAAATATCCTTCCTAACTACAGAATTGCTGATGTTCCTTTTTCTTTGCATTTGGGCTTCCAGAACACGGTTTCTTATGTTTTCATGACTTCCTAAGAACTCTTCCCCTAATTCAAAACACAATCAGATGTGAGATCTCCTGAAGTAGACCCATAAGGAAAAAAAGGCATAAAAACAGACAAACTTCCCAAAAACCTTACTTCCGGGTCAAACCATGACACAAAGCTAAGAAAAGCTCAGGTGCTAATAATGCATAGAAAAAAAGTTCTCCTCCAGAGGGGACTGGACAACTATTAGGCTGCCCAGGAAATACGAGGAAGAAGCAAGCCACTGGAAGATAAAATAATCCAAAAACCATTAGCAACTGTTTTGTGCTATCAAGGTCCTTGATAGGCTTTTTAGGGACTGTATAAAATAAGAGTATAAAATAAGAGTCTTTAGTATGGAAATTATAATTACTTTAGCAATTAAATATCATTCATGATAAAAATTACATTTACTGGGAAGGTCATGCAAGGCTCTACTGCAACTCCCTTCAGACCTGAATTCAAGTGCAACATTACAGCTACAAAATCTTATTTCAGTTTTCCATTTGTGAAAAGTCATAAGCCACAACAAAGTAATTCTCAATTATCTGCAAGTCAAGAACTTGATAAGTTCTCCAAGGCATTGGCATCAGGTATGAGTGGATGGCAAAAGTAAGCACAAAACACAGAGAATTGGCTTTGGTTAATCTCCAACATGTGCAGGGTCTTTAATGCAACGCAATACAACCTAATAATAACCAACTCAGCCTCTAAAAAATCCCTGTCTACTGGTGCAGAATCCACTGAGTAGAGGACTCCTCTCAATTCAAGCAATATTGTTTGACTGTTTTATCCTGTTCTGCTTTACATTCAGATATTCCTAGTGCTTTCCCAGTTCAAACTTACACATTATTGTCTTTTTGTGTATTTTGAAGTGTCTCATCCCTATCAAAGTGAGAAGCACAGAAGCACACAGGCTTTCCTGAAAACTGGGAATTGTGCCCCAACATGGGAAAAAGGCAGGGATAAATGTTTATGGGGCCCATTTCTGCAAATCTCATGCTCAGTATCACTCATGTCCTTTTGAGTTCAGCTGGAAATGCAGCATGATTGTTGAGACAGGCAAAGCTTTGTAATAAATAATGCTTTGCATTTCAAGAATTCCATAGAAATTAATACAGTTGACAAAATACAAAGCTTCACTTTTCAAAAAGCATTCTTAAATGCTCCTGAGGTCTGCAAATACAAAGTCATTTCATGTTTCCTTCCCACGGAACAAGCCCCCGTTGCAGCGCTGTGATTTACCAACAATATCTGTGTTAGCAGCCTGGCCCAGCTCATCTGTTGTGCTACAACACTTTTCTCCAGGCATGGATCAATAACATTCCTTGCTATACATCAAAAAAACACCTTTCTGGCAGGCTCTAGTGCTGCCCTTGGTGCATTCTGGGACTGAGTTCATCCTTATGGCAAGCAGTAATTCAAGATTACACGTATTACCTTTCTCCAAGAACCATTAGAGCTTTTTCTCGCTACGCTGGAAAACATTTGCAGGCTGAAAATCCAAGTACAAGTAACTCCAGGGTAGACATGATAAATCTCCCCACGTTTCTGTCTCAGCTAAGTGCTTCTGCAGCCAGATGACTCCTATGACCCTTGCACAGAACTGCCAGACCTAAAACAACTTCTGGCAGCTGCTTTGGATACCAGTTTTCCACTAGCCACATCTCCAAAGTTCAAAGTACTTGAGAAAGCCTCAGACCAAGCCAGACAGCTTCAGATTTTTCTGCCTGGCTGAATTTTTGGTGCACATCCCAGTTCAGGATGGTGTGGTTTCTGTTCATTAGGAGGATAATTGACATTTTGCCTGATGCAGAGCTCAACATTTAGCGAAAATGTTGGTTTTGCATGATCTTTTCAAAATACAGAACAGGCTGTATGGGTTCTTGTGTGCAGAGAGTTCTCCAGGAATGCAATTTTGATTTAAAGCTGACAAAGAAACTGCAAGTGTGTGGGTGGTGATGCCCTGGCACAGGGTGCCCAGAGCAGCTGGGGCTGCCCCTGGATCCCTGGCAGTGCCCAAGGCCAGGCTGGATGGGGCTTGGAGCAACCTGGAAGCAACAGTGGAAGGTGTCCCTGCCATGGCAGGGGTGGAATGAGATGACCTTTGGAGTCCCTTCTAACCCAAGCCCTCCTAGGATTTTATTAAATAACACTGCAATGGCACATTCTAGATCATGAGTGTGAAAAGCAGGACACTTCTCAGGCAGCAACACACCCAAGTTTTGTCAACCTCCCACCTCTGGACTTACTTAGGCAGAAGCATTACTTTAGGCTGGCAAATACCAATAATTTTTCCTTTTCATTTTTTTCAAGCTTCAAGTTCTCTTTTTTCTTTTTATTTTTTCTTAAACCTAGCTTAAATGTAGAAACTCACAGGATTTCAGACCACCAACAAGGTGAATTATAAAACCAGAGGCTGAAATCAGTCTACTAGACCCCCATAATATCCAGGACAGATCTCAGATTTTAAAAGCTATGCTTAAGGAACAAAAATACAAGGATGACTAGAAGGAAACATCACTCTCACTCATCACAAATTTAAAAAGAAGCACCTTGCATTTTCTAGGCAGGAACTACTCCTGGGCAGGTACTGCTGCCTTCCAATCCATTCAGTTTTGTGCTTCAGTGGAAAATTCTTGTTTGATTTAAAGGATTCTTTTGCCCAAGAAAAGCAAACTTGACCTGCCAAAGTACTTGTAAAAGACCTAAGTGAGGCTCAGGAAGCCTCCTATTGATATATCTGAGAGCAGGATCCCTCTTAGTGTGAGATCTGACTGCCTTTTGCAGGTTTTTCAAGCACCGATTTTCTGGGTGAAAGATCATTTCTGTCATCTCTGTGGAGCACCAACGATGAAGCAAATTCTGCTTCATGCCCAGGATCACGTTAATATGAATGGAGTAGGAGCACTCCAGTGTGCCTTCAGAACAGTCACAAGTTGTGCACTGCCCTTAAAACACCATTTCCCACACATTTGCATCTTTTAATCCTTCCCTCTCGCCCGCCTGGTGCACTCTGTGGATTCTGCTGGTATCCACAACTCTTTCAGAGGCAGAACATTAAAGCTTCTTCCTCCAGCTCAGATTTTACAGACCTCCTACCCAGTTATTAGAAGCAAGAAAAAGAGAGGCTTTTCTACCTGCTGGCTTTTATACACAGACTATTTGCTGCCTTTTCATAGTTCCTTCTATACTGGTGCCTGTCTCACTCATGGCTTTTATTAGTATCACATGGACATCAAATCTCCTGCAAGGTTTAGGATGCAATTACCTCCCAGGCTTTTTTTTTTTTTTTTTTGGTGTGTGTCTTGAATATAAAACAAGACAAAAGTATCCTTCAACAAATAAAAAGCAGTATGTGAGTCCATTGTGTGCGAATTATCTAACTGAAATTAAAACAATGGCTGCAAAGTTGCCACATGAAGTTTGAAGCAGACAACTAATACGTCAGTGTAAAACTAATATAACCAAAAAATAGCATAGCCATTACATTCCTTGGCTTTATCCTTATCTAAAAAAAAATTGTCTTCTAACAGAATGAATAAAGCTGGGCTAGAAAGAGGAGGAGCTGAGGATCTAGTGAAGAATATCCACATATGATACTGTGGTACAAGAATTTATTAGTACCTTATGTCATTACACCCCTCATATGGGCACAAGATGCAAAGCCAAGTCAAAAAATATTCCTTCTTATGGAACCAACCAAGGTCCAAAAATAATCCAGGCAGATTTATGCAGAGTACAGATACATATCCAGAAAATGTTTTGTTTGCAGTCACACAGGGCCACGGAAAGTGTCAATACAAGTGGCAATTTCACCATGAACGAGTGGGTCTTGTCAATAATTGTCTCCCATCCATCAGTCCGTGGCCTGCCAACAACTAAAGAAAAAAAGTGAGGAGGAAAGAAATATGTCAAGCTGCTTATATATCCACTAGAGGTCAATTTATTCTGAGAGGAAAATTCAGGGAGGGAAGTGACGATTTTCAAAACTAACAATAGCCATCCAAAGGAGAGAGAGGGAAAAATATTACAAACCCCTACCTGGTAAAAATGTGGCCAGAAGGTGCTGATGGCCAGCTCTGCCTTCACCCAGCCTTCGGTCACCACTCCTGACACGTTCCAGATGGGGTTGCCCTGGGGGCCCCCGTTGACCTTGACGTAGACGTTGAGGGAGCCGGGGCTGGAGCGGTCGCGGCTGGACAGGTAATAGTGGAAGTCGATGCAGTGCGTGTCATTCTCCTTCAGCGTGGGCAGCAGCAGGTGAGCTTTCTGCCCCGATGCTCGCCCAGAGCTGTTCACCATCATGAAGGAGCCTGCAGATCAAAGGAAAAAGAGAATAAAGAGTGGGTTTGTTTGGATTTTTGGTGTAAACAGCTCTGTTTGAAAAGTCAGCGGGTCCCTTGCAAGCCACAGAGCAAACCATTCCTCTGAAGGAAGCAGCTGTTTGGTGCCAGCTGTTAGGGAGAGAAGGGATATTAAAATTGCAAGGTATATACACCATAGATTCAGGGCTAGCTAGAACCACTTTAATTAAATAACTTGCAAATCAAAATAGAAATGCTGGCTTGCCTGTATTATTTTATCACCTTGTGATCACACAGTCACTCTAAACAAAAGCACATTCCCAATTCAAGCGACAACCAGGTTCTCCTGCTGCACACCGTGCCCCAAAGGCACATTCAATACAAGCTAACAAGTGACAGGATGAGAGAAAGCAGCCTCAAGTTGCACCAGAGGAGGTTTAGATTGGGTATTAGGAAAAAATTCTTCATGGGAAGTGTTGGAAAGCACTGGAACAGACTGAGGAGTCACCATCCCTGGAAGTGTTCAAGTAATGTGTGTATGTGGTGCTTGAGGATGTGGTTTAGTGGTGAGCATGGTGTTGGGTTGATTGGTTGGATTTGATGATCTATAAAACTAATTTCCAACCTTAACAATTCTGTGATTCAACACAAAAACAACAGAGCGAGTCTCAGCTGATATTTGCCTGCATCAACTAACACCCTTCATTCCAGTCCATACCTGTGAACCCTGGCACCTGAATATTTGAAGGTCATATTAAGAAAACCCCAATTTTCAGAGCCCAACCAAGTGAGGGCTGTGGCCAGAACAGCAACATCTTTACTTGTAATAATGCAACAGGACAATAATTCTTGTGGGAGGGAAGTGTAGGCTGAATTTAGGGAGGGAAATGTATACTGAGGCAATTTATGAGTTTGTTAACCTGGAAGTCTGCATCATATTAACCGTGGCACTTGATGTTGAACTCGCATTTGGATTCATCAAGCAGTTATTTTATAGCACATTGTGTCTCCGCTCATCTCCTCACACATGCATCAAGGTGACAAATGTCAGCAATAAGGGAGAACACTATGAGAGTTATTTGATTCAGTTCTGGTTACAGGATCTCCTTCGTGTGGGTGCAGACACTCACACTCAGAAAGAACTAAAGAAAACACTGGGATGGGGCAGGGGGAATCTGTGTGTCAGCAGCCAGGCATGATAATTTTTAATCAAACACAGCCCTCTTGACACTTCTGGTTCTGATGCTACTGCCAAGCCACACTGCAGATGTGTTTGTCAGCTGGCCTCTTGCAGTTCACAGAAGATTGAGTTTGAAAAGCCCTGCCTTACTTCTGACCTATTGACTCTCCCTTTTCCTCACCATAGCATGTGACTCAGATGAGCCAGGCAAACATTTGGATCAATTCTGTGCAGTGAACAGTCATATATTATGAATTTATAACAGCTTCAAGCAACTTTCTCTTAGAAAATTTTTCCTCCTGTGTTTATATGATATATACTCATTTTGCAAAGGAGCAACAGGAGGCAGTCATCTTAAAAAAAAAAAAATTAAAAAAAAATTAATAAAGTTACTACACTACACTCTAAAGACCTTGGAAAATTCCAGGGCAATGCAAGTACAGCTGGGGAACAGGAAGAGACTCTAAGAAAATTTATAGGCAAGATGGTCCCTGGCAATGCTGCCTTTCAGTGGAAATTAAGGAAAAACAAAAAACAAAATGGTCCCAAGTCAAGAAATTCTAGATTTTCAGCAAGAACTTGGAGAAATGTTAGAGCTGAATCCAAACTTTCTGGTTTCTGTCTAAAAAGTAGGATCCTGATAAATGCCCATTGCTGATGTAACTCTGAACCCAGTCAACCATAACATCTTCTTCTTCAGCACGTACTGTATACACACTACTCTTAAAAGTCTACTCATATCAACTAAACTTTTGAGAAACTGAAATTTGGGTTCAGTTCCTATGAGCTAAGAACAGTTATTATCAGCAAGCACAGGTACCAGCAGGCCTGGAGAGGCAGCACGGGCTGTCAGCTGAGGCTGCAGGCTGGGATCCTGACACAGCCAGGCTTGGGCAGGCTGACTGTGACACCCAGATCACCAGGGCTGGAGCCCCTCTGCTCTGCAGCCAGGCTGAGAGAGCTGCGGGATTCACCTGGAGAAGAGAAGGTTCCAGAGAGACCTTAGAGCACCTTCCAGTGCCTAAAGGGTCTCCAGGAGAGTGGAGAGGGACTTGGGACAAGAGATGGAGGGACAGGATAAGAAGGAATGGGTTTAAGCTGAAGGAGGGGAGATTTAGATTGGAAACTGGGAAGGAATTTTTCCCTGTGAGGGTGCTGAGACCCTGGCACAGGGTGCCCAGAGCAGCTGTGGCTGCCTCTGGATCCCTGGCAGTGCCCAAGGCCAGGTTGGACAGGGCTGGGAGCAACCCGGGATAGTGGAAGGTGCCCCTGGCCATGGCCGAGGTGGGACTGAATTGGCTTTAAGGTACCTCCCAACTCAACCCATTGTGGGATTCCAGGATCTCTGTCAGTACAGAGTTGCAAGAACCACTCTTCTGCAGAGAATTTGGGAGGGAAGACACTGCGAAACCACTGAGTAAGGGTGGCAGGGTCTGGAGGAGCGCAGCAGCTGCTGTGAAAGGCTCTGCCTGAGGCATTTCAGAGCCACTGGAGTACAGTGAAGACAAGTTCTCCATGTGGCAGATCCCACCCTGGAGGAGGCAGGTGCAGCTCAGAATCACTCCAGGAACAGCAAAGCTCCTGTGCATTTCCAAGGTTTTTGACCAAGTGCCTCCCACACTGGGGAGGCAGCCAGGAAAAGGGATTTTTACACCATAATTGATTGCACAGCACCTGGCAGAGCATTCCACTTCTGGCCATGCCTCTCAACTTTTCTCTTTTTAATTTGGATAGTATGGAAATTATCCTGCCCTAAAGAACTGCTCTGATCTGTGCTGTGTCTAACACATGCAGCCCTGAACTGAACTGGGGGAGGTAAATGCTTCAATGACAGCAAAAGTTAGGGAGTATTTCACTTCTACAGATCCATATATAAAAATAACAAGCATTCCTCTGGGAGAAAAAACATCAGCTTTTATAAAAAGTTCCAAGCAATAATTACAATTTTATTTTTCACCACCCGCAAAATAATGAATCACAAGCTATTCATGGCCTTTTGTGCAACTTCTGACAGTTCTGGGGAGAGTGGGGAGTGTTGGTGACAACACCAACAAGAATAATACCCATCCACCAAAAAGCACTTATCAAAATAATTAGTCTTAATTTCTAAAAAAATAGCCTTGCAAACAATTGTCATGGATAAATTACTGCCACCTTCCTATTTATAACATATGATTTTGTTTAATACAATGTGTGTAGAGATACAGGGGGAAATCCTATAAGAAACACAACTTTCTCAGGAAAAGTCCTGATAAGAGGCATTATTTTATGACAGTGGAAAAGATGAAAAATATCCACTTACAGAGCCATCTCTGCCAGAGAAAAGAACTCACACCTTGTTTGAAGGGATTTGTTCCCTAGGAACTCTACCACAGTCCTTTCTTGCTGCAGAGCCTTGGAGTGGCAGCTTCTCCACAAACCCTTCCCTGGGATACCCTGGGCACAGCTCACCCCACAGGATCCAGAGAAACACCTCAAGCCTGGCCATCCTAGGAGCTGAAAACTTGTAATTCCATCAAGGTAATCACTGATATAAATTATATAGAAATATTAAATACATATATTTTTATATATAGATCTACATTATAAATACATAAATCTAACAACATTTAATATGAAATACAATTGTGAATAAACAATACCCTATATCCTATAAGTTGGCCCCAAATAAACACTTTTTTTTTTTTTTTTTCTTTCACAATGTGAACTTGAACAGGTATCCTGTCCTCCAGGACCTTCACAAAGTTGCTCTGCATGCTCCACGATCAACAGATGAGATCCACTGTCCTGTTACAAATTTCCAAATTTGTCTATGGAACTTGTGTGGGCAAGATCCATCACTTAGGAGTAGGTGAGAGATCATGAAAACAACTCCCACCAGGAGAAAATAAACAAAAGACAAGCCAGCCTTTTAAAGACAAATGTGGTTTTCCTCATTATCCTTAATGAAAATTGGCATATTGTGATTTAGGGTCTGACAGCCTCCTTTAGGCTGAGCACAGAGCTGAAGCTGATGGGACTTATTCTCAATTTATAGGCCTATATGTGCAAATAAAAGAGATGCAATCTGGTCTGGCACCAACAAATCACTTGTCACAGTCTCCACTCATACAAAGGACTAAGGAATGAATTAACATGTCACAAATGGAAATTATTGACTAATAGATGACTGAAAGCCTCCTGAATGTCTCCAGGCAAGAATATGAATAAAACAAAAGGTATCTTGGAGAAACTCTTGTTCAGACTGTTGCATATCCAATTGGGGGAAAAAAGAAACAAAAATATCATTGAGTTTCATTGTTTTGTTTACTTCCTCACAAAAGTTCAAGTTTCCAAGTCTACACGAAACTGAAAAAAATGGAATTTGGAGGAAAAAATTATCTATGCTGGATAAAAGTTCTTTTTTATGTTTATTTGACAGAAAAGCATAAGCTCATTCAAGCAAATTGAACATAAGGTCAATTAAACATGGTGTTCTTGGATCAACAGGTTAAATTAATTGATATCTTGCTGGTTTTACCCTGACTATGTAAAAATGAATGTGTTATGCTCAGATCAGTCAGAAGCAAGAAAGATGGGGAGACTGTAAATAAATTCATTTTCAAAAATCCTTTCCAACGGCAGGAACATAAAACGCCACTCTCTCCTAGTTATTAAACATACCACTGAAAATTGGGGAATTAAACCATGAAGTGCTCTCTAGCTGGCCATAAATTTCAATTTTTCCCCTGCTTGGTGGATAATGATGCCTTGATAAGCGTCCTATTATTGATGCATCTGCAGCACAGCTCCTGTTCCCGGAGCCGAAACGCCGCTCTGCAGCAGATGG